GGTAGAGGGGTGTGGAGTTTCTAAGAGAGAATCTAACAATGTCATGTTTTTTTGATTCATCAGATAGCATGTGTTCTCCCACACAGGCCTTACACAGGTTGACAAGACATGTATCACAGTGTATCGGTACCACAGGGGTCTCACACAGGTCACATCGCATAACGTCCTGGGCACTTGTACGGGGATTCATAGTGAGTTTTTGTGATTTTATTCTAAAACAAAAAATGATAATGTTTAGGGATATTTAAACAAAAAGAAAAAAGTAAATGCATTCACATATAGACAAGTCACTTTTTTATTTACAAGATACCGGTATATGAATTGAATCTTAATGGTTAGTCGCAGTTTCTAAAGCATCCTAAATTTATAACTGTTTTAAACCGTTACTTACAAAAATAAATGCATATTAAATTACTTATCATAGATTTTTTCGTATATATATTTTTTTAACCTGATTTTAGTAACGTTAGCCATCCTGTCGATCAATTTCCTCCTAACACGGCTTGTCTGAAAGGACTCTTATCGTGTAATACAACTACTTGTTTTATCTACCTGTCGGGTGTTCGTACTTTCTTGACAGCATGGGAATTTTTTAAAATTAAAACTTACAGAATTATTTTAAACAGACCATTACATATAGTTGTATTATATGTATTTATAAATTTTCTTTGTACCTCAAAGAAAGTTAAGTAATATGTTCAAACTGTACAATTCAAATGATATTTTATGTCAGTTTTAAGATTTTAAGGTGAATATGTAAAAAAAAAAGTTTATACCTCTAGTGCATAAGTTGGCACTACAAAATGTGCTTACAAAACTCTCGTCATCAATATGCACGTATGTTTGACTTTTTACCACTTTCCCTACGTGACGTCATACATTTTACGGTTGAATGGTTTTAAACACCGATTTTCGCGCAGAGTAATCAAGATACACCCCGGCCTGAACAGTTTTCATAATTTTTCGCCACAAGGTAACATCATTTTGCATATCATGCTCGCACGCGCTTCTTTTTCATTTCAGTACATTTACAAAAAATTCTCAATAACTGCATATTATACCTTAATTATTTGCACTTGTGCATAGAATTAATTCAACATGAACTAGAGGTACTGCGAGCAATGAGCTCACTAAATGATTCCCCCATCTCCCATATGAGTATAATGGCATTGTCCATGTTTTGCTGTGGGAAACCAAAAATATGTGTCGAATCAAATAGTGAAATAGGAGGTGCACAATGGAAGATGTATTAAAGATTCTGTGAAAGTGTCATCAAATTTCATTCAGTGGTATGAGAGGAGTTGCGGATAAGAGATGGGTACCCCAAAGCGTAACAGACAGACGGACGGACGGACGTACAGACAGGTAGACAGATGGACGGACGGTCATAACCAGTACTATATACCCTCTCGTTTTCAAGCGGGGAGTAAAAAAATTTAATAGGATTCGACCTCACTAAGTATCAGACAAAGATAAAAGTATCTCTTTAGATAAAAAAAATCTCATTTTGGTAAACAGCATTATCAAAAGCACTTGAAAACTGATCAAGAGGACATGCTTTAAATGATAAATATTCCAAATAAGTAATCAAGCCGTCATTCGTAGCTAAGTCGATGGATTGGAAGTTCGTGTGTTTAAATTATTACCTCCTGCGACTGACCTTGGTCGACAAAAAAAAATTAGGTGACAGCTGTTCCTTCTCCAAGGGAGGCCCTCCGGGTGAGGGATCAAAAACGTGTAACGGTAGGCGTTGGTACGATTAAGAACCTTTACTGCCCAATGGCCCCCAGTGCAGAGTAAGGGTCTGAAGTTGAAGCCCTTCACCAGTATATGGTGATGTCTCTACATGTACGTATTTTTGAGTAAAAAATTCTCGAAAGCGACGTAAAACAACATACAATCAATCAGTCCAATAAATCATAACTATATATATAATACGATATAATAATAAAGATGCATTAGTGAAATTACAAGGGTAAGAGTTATTGACAAATTATAGTTTATATTTATTTAGTCATATTATTTAAATACAAAAATCACTCTTCTTAAAAAGAAATTATCCTTCTAAGAGGTAATTTCTATTGGGCATGAAGTCTTATCACGGAAAGACTATGCAAAAAACTTAAGATATATCATGGGGGTAGAATTACCTTAAAGGCACCGACTTTTTTTCCAGTTAGATTGATGTCCATCGGAACAATACAAATTGGGATCAGAGCAAACTATTGGATCTCCTAAAAACCATAGGTGAGTAAACACACCCTGTTGACCCGTCACGTCCGCCGTATGCTCATTTCAAGATCAAACTATTGGATCTCCTAAAAACCATAGGTGAGTAAACACATCCTGTTGACCCGTCACGTCCGCCGTATGCTCATTTCAAGATCAAACTATTGGATCTCCTAAAAACCATAGGTGAGTAAACACACCCTGTCGACCCGTCACGTCCGCCGTATGCTCATTTCAAGATCAAACTATTGGATCTCCTAAAAACCATAGGTGAGTAAACACACCCTGTCGACCCGTCACGTCCGCCGTATGATCATTTCAAGATCAAACAAACGAAAAACCCGTAGATAGTCAATTTATTGTTAAAAATATGGTCTATTAATTTGTATGAAAAACATTAGTCAAGAGTGGACTTGATATATGCTATTTCCTGACTAGGTCGTCATATGAAACATAAATTTACCAAATTGTTGACGAGGCTGTTGATATCATTGACTAGGTTGTCATATGAAACATAAATTTACCAAATTGTTGACGAGGCTGTTGATATCATTGATTCATCAACTTATTTGAAAATAGCTTTCCATTTTTTTTTAAAATTGCGCGTACGTGGATGCTCTGGCATATCAATCATACACTCTATACCCAGGTGATAGATATTAAATACATGTACTAGTATTGGTACAAAACTAAGGGAAGTATTAGCTCCAGTGAAAAGTAATGTCATTATTGACATTATTGTCAGAAAGTAGACCAGGAAACATGAAATCCTAACCAGGTAAAATGATCATTTGATTTTATAACACAACCGCTTAAGGCGTCTTCTACTTTGATATGCCCCCTTCCTGTCAGTTTTGAATTCTTTGTAGTTTAACCCAGTCTCAAGAACTGTATATGAATGCAACCACTTGCGAAAGGCTACAAATCTGGACAGTGGGAGATCTGTTTTGCACCTACTGCGACACGGGACCTCGGTTTTTACGGACTCACCCGAAGGACCTATCTCCACATCAGGATTTGAACCATTGAAGAAAGGATCAACTCCTTACTCAGCGACGTAAGCTTATATTTACAGTAATTGAAATTCAAAATTTTCTTCATATTCTTAACTTCATAACACTGATTGTTTGCTGTAGATAAGACATGCATTTTGCTAGTAATAGTATTTAAAAATATTGAGTTTTAATTTCAAAGTATACTCGTCAAGAGAAAAATGTGTCGACTTGTAAAGCAGAGAAGTTTATAGAATTGAATGTATGTATGTTCGGGTAAAGCTACTAGATGGTTTAAATTTCAACCTCAAAATGGTAACATACGGTTGAGACTTGAATGACTATTCTAAAAATCTTTTTTAACTAAGACTCTTTCTTAACATAATCAGAAAGCTTCGGTTGAAACTTATGAACATTTATATAAGATTTAATTAATAATAAGCAACTTTTGAATTCCAATGTGAATCACATGCAGTAGTCTCGGGATTTGCTTTTTATACTTCGTTTTGTTACGTATTTTTGAAGTTTTTCACTTCTTTGACGGATAAATATTTTCATTTTCTAACTACGCGTATTTCTTTCATTTCTTAATTTAGTTTTAGTATAAATTAGTGTACAATATACATTGCTATACTTTGTTTAATTAAAACAATTTTGTTCATTGCTCACAGTTAATCGAACTTTTGAGAATAGTTCTAAATCGACATTTTTCTTAATTTTGATATTTTTTTGGTATAATTTTCTTTGGATTTTAAGCAGAAAAATACTGAAATTTACCAGTTCCATAAAATTATTTTCAAAAACTTGATATTTTCACTATGAAAACAAGGCAGTGTTCTTTTCTCAATAAAAACTGTAAATTATCAAACTCTCCTTCCCTCGAATAAAAAATAACTTCCTAATAATAAAATTATTCAACGACTGAATTTATCAGGTGATACTTCATTGTACTTATTTAAACCGGCTTAGTGTTTGCTCGTTTGAAATATTTCCTTGAAGTACAGTGTAGGTACATTTTGTACACCCTGTTGACAAAGACTTTTACAGAAATTTAAAACTTATATTTCCTTTTATCATTTTTATATAGTCATTTATACTTTTTGTCCTAAAACATTTACGCCCAGTTTCATTTACCTGGTACAAAATGAATCTCATTAATAATATCTTTTGAAATAAAAATATGTAAAAAAAAAAAAAAAAAAAAAATTAATTGGCCATATACAATATATATTATTTTGATTAATTATCTTATATTATCCCCCCAAAAAAAAGATGAATAAAAATTAAGAAAAAAAAAAGAAGAAGCATAAATCTTGCTGATGGACGCCCTTTCTTTACAAAAAGTATTCAAGCTCAAAATTCAATCTATTAAACAATACAAAATAGGAGCAGAGCAAACACGGGCCTCGAAAACATCAGAGGTGGGATCAGGTGCCATGGATGAGTAAGCATCTCCGGCCGACCGTTACACACTCCGCGTGCTCTTTGTCATGATCGGGAAATAATCATAAAACACATTGCTACATTAGGTTTCCTTATATGAATTTATCTTGTACGTAGATCACTATATATTATCCTCGTCCTCCTATTTTGTTGTAATAATAATTAATGTTTATTTTATTCACATCAGATTTAAAATTAATTCCTGAAAAAGTAGGTCTCCCTTCATGCTTCAAAATTTACTCCAATATATAGGCATTATAATTTGATTTACTACCTTTAAAACCTATTATTAATGAAAGAACAATTTAAGTAGGCAATTTTATGATGAAAAGAAATTTCAAATGGTAATATTACCGGTATTAGGTTATAATCTCTAACTTAAAATTGGATCCTAGAGACAACGTAATCCATAAAAGTGTTTAGTATTTCTCAAAACAAATGATCACTTAGTCATTTATATGAAATTACATCCGAAATCCTGATGAAGAAATATTGAAATGCAACATTAATAGTTTTAAACAAGTGATTGGAAGTTCATATAGCTGCCTTATTTAACGCAGTAAATGTATAATTGTGCAACGAAAATCTTGAAAGAAATCCGTTAAATATGACAGCAAATGTGGGGTCATAAATGCAAATATATGTACATTTTTGTAGAGTGTTGTGAGAGTGTTGTGAGAGAACATTTACAATATAATCTTGTAGTATCAACTGATGTGATGTTCGTCTTTGACTCAGGTAGAAATGACAATTCACACTCTGATCAATTATAAGTGAATACACTTTTATGAGAATGATGCCTGCACTTAAACTAAATCATTACACAACTAGAGGCACTGTGAGCACTAAGCTCACTTGATAATACCATCGCCTCCCATATTGATAATGATGGCGAAGTCAATATTTTTCTGGGATACTAGAAATAAGTGTCAGATTTAAAAAATGAAATAGAAGGTACATATTGGCATTAGGTGATAAAGAATATGTGAATTAAAGTATCATCAAATTTTATTCAGTGGTGTTGGAGAAGTTGAAATTAAGAGATGTGTACCCTTCAAGATTATAAAAATAATGTTTGTGTCCATGTTTTGCTATATGAGAAACCCCGAAAATGTGTCGGATCAAAAAGTAAAATAAGAGATGCACAATGACACTATGTAACAAAGATTCTTTAAAAGTTTAATAAAGTTTCATTCAGTGGTAAAAGAGGAGTTGCGGATAAGAGATTGGTACCCCAAAGCGTAAAAGACGGACGGATTAAAAAAGTAGTATGTGCACAATGGCAAAGATTCTGTGAAAGTTTAATTTTTTAATTCATTGGTATAGGAGGAGTTGAAGAATTACGGACGGATGTACAGATGGAAGGACATCCCTATGACTATATACCCTCCCACTTTTCAATAGGGTGTGTATAATAAAGAACATTTTTACAATCATTATACCCCCCGTTTGAAAAGCGGGAGGGTATATAGTAATCGGAATGTCCGTCTGTCCGTACTTCCGTCCGTCTGTCTGTTACGCTTGGGGGTACCCATCTCTTATCCGCAACTCCTCTCGTACAGTGTATCACTGAATGAAATTTGATGAAACTTTATTACATATTGTCATTGTGCACCTCCTATTTTACTTTTTGATCCGACATATATTTTGGGTTTTCCATTGCAAAACATGGACACTGCCATTTAAACACATATGGGAAGCGGGGGGCATCATTTAGTGAGCTCATTGCTCACAGAACCTCTAGTTTTAAAAGCATTGTAAAAGTATGATTGATTTTATTTTTACTTCATCTCAATTTCACATTGTCCACTTTTGAAATCACAAGAGTCATTCTTAACATAATCCTGTTTATGCTTCAGAGTCCAAAGCCCCGGAAATGATGCAATGTGACCTTTGTGAGACTGTTAAGGTAGAGGTACGCTGCGATTCTTGTCTTGTCAACCTCTGTAAGGCTTGTGTTGGAGCACACATGATCTCTGATGAATGCACGGACCACAAACTCATCAAATATCAGTCCAGGAAACCTAACCGCCTCTACCCTGAATGTAAATATCATAACAAGCAACATTGTACAATGTACTGTAACAAATGTAAGATTCCCGTTTGTAAAATGTGTCTTGCATCTGGTCAACATCTAAGTCATAAGTTGTCAGAAATCTTGAAAGCTGTGAATGAAAAAAAGGATAAATTATTCAAAGAACGACACGAACTAAATGAGATTATTTATCCGACCTACCAGCACATTGCCTCTGATGTACAAAATAGAATGAATCATTTGGAAAAGATATATGGAGATCTTTCTGCAGCAATAACAGAACATGGCAGGGCCTGGCACACAGAAATTGAAAAACGTTCATTGAAACTACAGGCCAAAGTTGAAAAGATGAAGAAGACACAGTTACAAACGCTGCAGAAACATCTGGATGAAATAAATAAAAACATATCTGACATAAGGAATGACATCAAATCAATTGAAAGAACTATAGATGCTGATGACATGTCAAAACTATTAAGGGTCACCTCTAATGTTCACCTTTACAGTAATCTTCCACAGAAAATTGCTCCTTCTTTACCAAAATTCATTCCAGGAGAGGTTCAAGGCGAAGAATTCGATAAACTATTTGGAATCTTATTACCAAGTTCTTTAACATTAGATGAAAATGGTTACAGCTTGAAACCAAAAAGGAGATCATCAGAAGCTGAATCCCCTTCTCAAGTCAAACAGCTGCTTGACGAACCAGAGATTGTAACAAATATAGACACGGGGTTTGAGTACCTTATCAATGTGGCATGTTTGAGTGACAATGAAATCTGGACAAGAGGAAACGACAGTACTATGAAGCTTTACAGCATCAATCAGGGATCAATTATCAAGTCAATCAAAACCAAGTCAGGGAACATACCATGGGACATTGCAGTGACGAAAAGTGGAGATCTAGTTTACACCGATATAAGTGATAGAACTGTGAACATTGTGAAGAATAAGAAGATTGAAAATGTCATCAAACTCCAGAACTGGACACCTCGTGGTGTATGTAGCACGTCCTCTGGTGACCTTTTAGTTACTATGTGTAGTCATGATGACAAACATTCGAAAATTATTCGTTACTCTGGCTCCACAGAAAAACAAACCATTCAGTATGATGATCACAGAAAACCTCTCTTTTCGATATATACATGTATAACTGAGAATAGAAATTTGGATATATGTGTCTCCGACAATGGCATTAGAGCTATAGTGGTGGTAAATCATGCTGGGAGACTGAGATTCAGGTACACTGGACATTCACTTCCTCCGAAGAACAGGCCATTTATTCCACTTGGAATCACCACAGACAGTCAGAGTCACATACTCACGACTGATGATAATAACCACTGCGTCCACATTATAGATAAAAATGGGCATTTCCTCCAATACATAGACTGTGAACTAAGTGAACCTGTGGGACTTTGCACAGATTTAAATTATAATCTATATGTAGCTCAGTGGAGAAAGAGACAAGTAAAGAAAATCAAATATCTGGTCAGAAGCATCAAGTATAGATAAAAAATGTATGTTTTTTCTTGATGATATTTACAATTGCATGTATATGTATATCAAATCGGTTGGTGTATTTAATAAAATATCTGATTTCGAAAAAAACAATAACAAATTGCACATGAAGAAAATGAATGTTCTCAGTGAAATTAGCAAAGTAATGAAATGTCCACTCTATAATGATGCTAGCAGCAATAATTCATTTCTAAGTTTGTAGATTCAGCATGTTCAATATTTTTGGATTTGTATAAAGTAAAGTTTGCCTCTAAGGGAACATTTAACTGCAACGCAAATTGAACAGTTAGCAACAAATTTGTCGTTGCCCAGATAATTCAATACCTGTCCAATATCATCATTTATTCAATGATACATCTTTCTCCTACATATTATATTTTGAATTCAAGTCCCAAACCCCTTTAATAGGCCAACTACAAGGGATTTATCCATTTACATTTCACGAAATCAGAATTATCTCCTCATGAAAGAAGGCCTGCAGTTCTTTCATTTAAAAAAAAATGAGTGTATTGAATCTTAAGAAGATGAAAATGTAAAAAAAAAAAAGTAGGACAACACGACAACTATTAAAGGACAATTATTGATCCGAAAACTCACCGAGCCTTCGGCTCAGGTGAGCTAAAATGCATTTCTCGTGAATATATAGCCTGATCAGAGCATTAGTTAACGAGGAAATCTTTTCAATTATATAAAGTAGACAAAATTTAAATCGGCCCATCAAAGAAAATTAATATTTTACTTTTCAAAACTTGTTTTGAGGTAATTGATATATAATTACGTTACCTAATTAAAAAAGCATTTGTCTTCACTGATTACTACAATGTTAATTAAAGTGTAAATATGTCATAGGGGAAAAAATTTTTTAAGGAGTAAACAATTTCTATCCTTTGTGTTTGTGTTTTTTTTTGTTTGTACAGATTAAAAACTCAGGAAAAGTTACATCGTAAGTTACAACGGAAGAGTGTGCTACCACACTCAGTATGGTTTCTGCACGGGGTCCTTCGGAGAAATTTGTAAAAAAGTGAAATAATTAAAATATTTATACACTTAAAGAGGTAGGGGCTCCATATATGGGCCAAAATAATTTGTTTTATAAGATTAAATTAGGATCGTACATAGTAAATTTAACAAGCTTTCATGAATGAATTTATGGTAATAACAAACAGTATTCAAGCTCAAAAGTACAAAAAACAATAAAAATTAGGTGCAGAGCAAACACGGAACTCCAAAACATCAGAGGTGGGATTAGATGCCATGGAGGAATGAGCATCCCCTGCCGACCGGTAGAACTCGCCTTGTGCATCCTTCGTCAATTCAGTGTGTAAACAACGGACTAACAATTAGTATAAAAAACATCATACAGCATTTGACTCAATGATAAATCGTATTTGCTAGCAAGGCCATGGTATCGACCATAGAACTTACGAAATGATGAATTTAAACTAGACTGCTGATAGTCTTGTTTCATCAACTTGTTTGTCAATAATTTACCTCCTTTTAGACATTTTTCATACGTAGAGCATGCTCTTGTGTATCGAATCAATTGAGATATTTATTCTCCGTATGCAGGTGATGAAGGTATATTGCAGCATAAGTAAGGGAAGTTGACGATATTTAAGTAGTGCAAAATGCATGGCATGCCACTAGCTTTAGCTCAACTGGTAGAATACTAGACTGGCAAGCTATGGGCCCCAGGTTTAATTCCCAGCAGAGACACAAAATTGTGTCTGTTACATTTGGCGCCCATGTAGGGACCCGGGTGTTCTCTGGCGAGTGAAAGTGATTGCCCCTAGAACTTCGCCCCACAGGCGTCAGAACTCCAAAAGGGATGAAGACATCTCATTCTCTGGAGGGGAACAATGCAGTAGTGTAAGATGCATGGCATCCAACTAGCTTGTGCTAGCGGGTTTACCCTTTAGCTCAATCGGTAGAGCACTGGACTGGCTAGCCAGAGGTTCCGGGTCCAATCCCCAGCTGAGGCACAAAATTATCTCTGTTACAATAGAAAAGTTAAATTCATCACGTATATCATATAGCTCGGTTGTTAGATTACCATTAACGTCTTTTTCTAGTAAAACATCCAAGTATGAAACAGATGTATCAGACTTTGTGGTATCTTTTATCTCAAGCTCACCAGGATATATCGTATCGACATAGGAATGGAAATTACCAATGTTAATTGACAATACGTCGTCGATAGATCTAACTGTCGAATTGAAGGCCACGGCAAATGTTTTCTTCTTTTCACGCATAAGGTTTTGCAAAAATTCTGCTTCATATGAATACAAAAATAGTTCTGCTAATAACGGAGCGCAATTCGTACACATGGGAATTCCAATAGATTCATATGAATGGTAATAAAGGGGCGCAATTGGTACCAGTGGGAATACCAATAGATTGTTGGAAGACCTGGTCTCCAAAAACCACATAGATATTGTCAATCAGAAACTCGAGCGTCTTTTTGATATAAGCTTCAGAGTACTGGTGTGTACAATCAGAATTCTTTTAATAAAATAATTTTGCAAATGACCATTGACAAGGTACGTAAATTTACGAGATCCATTTTTATGGGAAAAAGCAGCTGTCAATGATATAAAAAAGCCTTAAAAAGCTTTAATTTATCGTTGGGAGTGGTTGTGTATAAAGTTAAAAAGTCGTAAGTTTTTAGGCTGTTTGTTTTGGTAAAATCTTGTGATTTCGTTTTTCCAAAAGTGCTATGAAATTTTAAGTATTTTCATGTGATTTACACAACTTCACGAATATATATTGTTGCACAGTACTCTTGAAGTTCCTCCTTCACTAAAGTTAATGTCTTAGAGAGGAGTATAAAGAAAGAGGCGTGGTTGAACATTTACTGGATTATTCAATATAGAAGGATAGGTGGTTTTCATATTGCTCCTCAATCTATTAATAGATCTGTAACATAGATCTGATACATTTAATCCATTCCGACAAAGGTCTAACATATTTTTATATTTTGTCCCATCGCCTGGCGTAATCTTTTAAATTTCGACTCCAGTTGAAGGATCGGGGTTCCCTATATTTAAAAAAAATATCAAAAACGGGGCTTTCCTTGATCTTTTCAAGAAGACTATTTAAAGGTTTCAAATGAACAGAGTAAAGTTTGTGCATGCAAATATGATGTAGACCAAAGTCTTGATTTACATAAGGTTATGATGAATCAAAAAAGACAACGTGTATCAAATGTATACTACCGTAAATTTATCTGGAAATTTTTGCTGTAGATAAATTTTTAGCAAATTTGCGAGTTCATTGCATTCGCAAAAATATTTTTCTTAAAAATAAATTACCAATAAGAAAATGTAAACAAAGCAGTGGTCATTCGCAAAATTTTGAAACGTAAAAATTAATCAACACCATTTTGACCCGAATTCGCAAAACAATATCGACGTAAAAATTTCCAGATTTACGGTATAAGTATTAGAAGACCAATGCCCATGACTACGCTTACTTACGTCTCTGTGTATGATGTCCTATCAAATTTACATTGTTACACAGGTCGATGTGACAGGTTTTTATATTAACATTGTGACCAAATGTAATGTTGTATTTCCTTAAAGGGTCATATAATGATTAGAGAATTTACGAATCGTTTACGTTTAATGATTCCCTGTATTATAAACTCATTTGCCTGTAACCTACCTCGGAATCACAATTGATCCGCACCCTGCCCTTTGATATTTAATAAGTTGGGAGATATGTACACCATGTGCAAGTGACAGTGAAAAATCTTTTATAAAGGGCTCAAAGCGGTTTTAACTGGTGAACAGGGAATGCTTACTCCTCCTAGGCACCTGTTCACATCTTTTTTTCAGGGTCTGTGTTATATGCCTTGTTTACTTAGTATTGTTTGTAGGTTTTTTAAAGATCGATCTTCGCCTTACATTGAAAAGTACTTGAAGCTATTATTATGACACAATATTTAGTTATTTTGGCAGACACTAGGTAAATTTGTTTGTCATACACCAAAAATTAGTTTGGAAGGTTTTGAACTAAGATTGCAAAAGGAAAATGTATGCATAATTAACCGACGGTTACATTGAAATATGTGTATATATGAGCACACCTAAACACAGATTCTCAAACGGCATGGAATGGGTTAATCGTGCAGGTAAAAATCTCGTCTCTTTGGACCTGAGGATCATTCTGAAGGAAACACTAAATACATCATCGACTTTCTTAATTCTACAAAAATCCTTTATTGTTTGAGAGAAATAATGACAACTATTTTTAAAACAAAGTTTAATTGAAAAAAAAAGACACTAAAATACATCATTAAACCTTTTAAAACTGAAATATTATTTGTAAATATCGGCTTATCAACATCTTTTATCAGAGCAGATTTTAAGGTTATTGTAAATTTAAATCCATTACAAAGACTCCAATTCAAATCAAAAAAATCATAAACACGACACTGTTATATCAATCATGTGACGTAGATACACAACCAATTTACATTACATACTCTCTTCCTGTCAGGTAATTTTATATTACTTGAAAATTTGAAATACTCTTGACAGATGTTGCTAGTTACAGTGAGTCTTTGCTGTTTACCGATCAGTCATGCATTTTATCCGTAATAAATTTAAAACAAGATGTATTTGTGAAACACTATGCGCCCGGCGGCAACAAAGTTCGCAAAAAGCTATTTTTAGCATTAAGGTCATATTCAATGTCACAAGGTCATTGACATGTACATGCGCACTTGATTCATAGCAATAACTGATGCCATCAGTTTCCATGCCTTTATAATAACTACACTTAAATTCCAGTGCATTTAACGTACAGATTATGTATTGATACTTGCATATTTTCATTGTCACTCCAACTTTACATTCTTGACAACAAACTACAAAACATTAATTAAACATCTTCATTTGTTCGTTCAAAACAATAATCGTATTGTTTTACATGCATATACTTGTAATTAACAATTTCATCATATGACAGTCATGGGAAATGTTAAAAACAAACTGTTTCCAAGATAAGAGCAATTGCATTTAAGGAGTCTTAATTGATAACATAGGTACTACTCCTTCAAGACTTCTAAAATAATCAAGATTTAGACTTCAACCTATTTATATTTCATAGTTATTAGTTTCAGTATGGATATTGCTACCAATGCCACGGATATGACGCAATGTGACCTTTGTGAGACTGTTGAGGTAGATATACACTGTGATTCCTGTCTTGTCAAACTCTGTAAGGCTTGTGTTGGAGCACACATGATCTCTGATGAATGCACGGATCACAAACTCATCAAATATCAGGCCAGGAAACCTAACCGTCTCTACTCTGAATGTAAATATCATAACAAGCAACAATGCACCATATGTACTGTAATCAATGTGACATTCCTGTGTGTTAAATGTGTCTTGCATCTGATGAACATGAAACTTATCAGAGAT